GGGGCAGGGAGGCTGCCCCAGGGGAAGAGAGGGAGGAGGCGTGTTGGGGGGAAATCACCAGGGCAATGTGCAGCTTGCTCAGCCCCTTCCTTTCTCCGAAGCCCGGGAAGCCCGGGCTGGGCAGGGCAGGGCAGGGCGTGCCAGGAGCCCGCATCCGTGACACGCCAACAGCACGAAGCCGAGGCGTGAAGTGAGAACGCGGCTCAGCCCTTGGCCTAGCACCGAGCCCTGCAGATGGGAAAAGCAGGACTGTGCAACTGAGAGCCATTTACGGGGCTAGAAAACCAACGTGGTCTTCTCAGTGCTGCTCCTGGGGGTAGGTCGAAGGCAGGGCAGGGGGCACCCGGGGGGGACAGCATCTCATTAGCACCATTTGCGAATCGCCAAGCCCTTTGCCCCTGTTAAATCAGCCCTTGCACCCTTGCCAAGCAGAGCCAGCCTCGTGCCCAAAGGCCCAGTGACTCGATGCAAGGATTGAGAAGCCCAGCCACAAAAAGGACCCGACCTCCCACCTCCCAGGCCTAGACCCCAGGCTCCAGACACAGCTCCTTCCCCAGCAGCTCACCAGATGCCAGCTGCCACTTTACTCCAGAGCTAAACATGCTTCCCCAAGGCAAGAAAGCCACCGAAGGACAAACACAACTTGCACCCTGCAGAGATCCTCCAGCACGGCGAATTACTAGAGCTGGGGACTCCAGAGCCACCAGCTCCCGCCAGGCAGGCTCCCGGGCTGCCAGTACAGAGCCCCCAACTTGTCTGTGACCAGGACCCACGCACGGGGTGCTTGGCCGCATGTCCCACCTGGCTTTGGAGGGCTTTCCCAGGTTGCGGGTCACTACAGCTAGGAGCAAACCCATCCCTGTGAAGGCTCAATGCTTTTTGGCAACAGGGGCTTACAAAACAGCCGCCCAAATGAGAGGTTAAAGCCTGGGTCGTGCAGGCTGTCAGCAGTGGACACACTGTCCGGCATGCCCTCACTGTCTGACCCTGCCGGTCCCCGGCGCTAAGAGTCGGTGACAGAAAAGCCTCCTCCCCCCACCAGCTCCTGGCCTGTCATCCATCACTTCCCGAACTTCCCAGCCACAGTGGGCCACCAGCTGCACGCTGCCTGCCATCAGGTAGGCCTCAGATGGCATCAGTGACAATCTGCCAGAGAAAATGCAAACGTTCTGCTAATTGCTGTAACGATGCAGGCTGCAGCCGCCGCAGGGGGCCGGCGCACAGCCTGCGCGTGGGGCGACGTGGAAGGCGTGCGGGGTAACGGGGCCGGCTGGGCGTGGGGGGAGCAGTGCAGGCGCGACGCTAGTGGGGCTGATTCTGCTCTCGTTTCTACTCCGGTAAATGCAGGGCCGGTGAGCGCGGATTTGCACCGCTGAGATGAGATCCCGGCCTGGGCTGGTCTCCAGGATTCTTGGCACAGTGAAAGCAGCCGGCATCGGGCAGAGCCCGGATCCCCGCAGACAGGCTGCAAGGTCCCGCCAGGGCATGGGGATGCAGATGCAGGGTGTGAACACACTGCAGAGATGTGACACGCTCGCGGTGGGAGCACGGACCAGGCTACGGGGGCAGCACCGGGCACTGCATCACTCAGAGACTGTAGGCACCACCCCACCCAGCACACGCTACCCTGGCTGTGCAGTGCCAGGGGCCAAGCCCGGCCTGATTTACACCCCACGGGATACCGCTCTCTGCAGTGAGCTGGCAGCACCGGAGAAGGGAAGGTGTGCAAGGGAAATGCGTAGGTGTGCGGGGAGTGCGCTAGCCCCTGTCCAGCTGCCAAGCAGTGACCCTGTGGGCAGCTCCACACAGCAGGGGTTCAAGCAGACGAGGGTCTCACTGCACCAGGCCGGGGAGGGGAAGATGGGGGCACTTACCCCAGCCAAAGAGGGAAGGGGAGGGGGCCATCCTGCCCACCCTGCTCCACCCTTCCTGTGACCCCTGCCAGACAAACCCTGCTCCAAGGAGAGCATCCTGGGATGGTGCCCGTGGTCTCTCAGGGGCCCACGTCCTTCCAGCACTGCAGCGCACGGGTGGGCAGGTGCACTCAGCGCCTGGTCCTCCATGCGCCCGGCGCCTAGGAAAGCTCCAGTGCAGGGGTCGGGCAGACAGCCTGAAGCCAGACCCCATGAACGGTGCAGATAGGGACCCTGGTGACAGGGGCCAGCTGGCAGCAAAGCCAGCGAGCATGCCTGCAGGAGTCTCCCCGGGCAGGGCCTGAGCGCAGGTCGAGCGAACACCCTGGCCACATACAACCAAGGGCCCGACCCTGCTCTCAGCGTGGAGGGGGTCTCCTTGGCACGAGGGAAGCGGCCACCCCCCAACACGGAGCCAAGAGCCTGCCCCGAGCTGCTGATCCCACTCGCCTGGCACAACGGGCTCCAGTCTTTCCAATCGAGCCGTGCCCCCGATCGAGCTGTGCCCCCTCCACCCAGCAGCCGCAGCTGAGGTAGATCGTTTCACATCACACACATGCACACCGCTCACGCCAAGCAGATGCTGCACCACAGCCAGGCAGGGACGCCGGGCACCGGGACAGGCCGTGGCACAACACAGCCTGGGGACCCAGCATCTCCCGCACGGCTCCTTCCTCTCCATCCCCAGCAGGACGGGGGAAGGATGGGGAAAGCCAGGCTAGGCCTGGCCCTGCTGGGCTCGGGGGGTGGGGGGACACAGCTGGCGTGCGCCCTCCCTGCCCAGCCCCTTTTTGGGTGGCCCTGTCTGGGGACAGCAGACGCACCCTGCTCTCACGCGTGCCCCTCACCTTCCAGCGGGTTAAACCCCTAGGGGCAGCACACACCTGGGCACTCCAGTCCTCCCCTATGCCCACTCAGGACCCTGGCAGCTGGGGCCTCAGCAGGGGCTGTGCCCAGCCTGCAACACGGAGGTGCAGGGCACCAGGGAGGAGCTGCATGGGTGAGAGGTGGGGCAGGCAGACACACCGCCCTCACCTGGTCTCTCCCCAGCCTCCCCCTTTTACCCCCCACCTTGCACCTGGGCTTGGCCCCAGCTGGCTGTGGGTGCCGCCTGGGTGGCCCTGGATCCTAATACTCCTTGGGTTCCCCTCTACCCTCTCCATGCTGCGACCCCATTGCGGGTGCCACGGGGGACTCCGACCTGTGGTGCTCGTGCCTGCCCATGGGAATGGCGCACCCAGCCCTTGTGGCCCTTGCTGATCAACAAGAGCCCATGTGCGGATCACCTGGGCACGAGCAGCAGGGTCGGAGCCTGTCACTGGAGGTGCGGCTGTGCCAGCCCAGACCCCGCGCTGTGTGTGTGCCCACGCGCTCCTGCTAACCAGGCGGGCTGGCCCTCCATGCTCACGCCCACGTGGGCACCCACTCCCTTCCCAGCCAGCTGGTGAGTGAAAGCGAAGACCTCCCTCTCCCCCAACGACTAGCAAAATGGCACATTTTCTAGAGGCAGAAAACTGGGAGCAGGGGATGGCAGGCAGAAGCTGCCAGATGCCCTGGGCAGAGGCCTGGCGTGGCTCTGTCCTGAGCAGCGGGGCTGGGAAAGGCGGTACTTGGATCTCTGCCTCTAGGGCAGCAAAGGGGCCGGTGTTTCCTGCCTGCTGGCCTTCCCCTGGGCAGGAGCTATTGTGTTGGCAGGAGCTCCCTTCCTCCGGGCAGTGGGTCAGGAGCACAGCGGAGGCAGCCCCGCCCCGCGTGAGATCCCTGCCCTGGGGAGGCTCCAGCTCAGCTCTCCGCGCCCCTCTGTGCCGGCCCGCCAGGCCCCCCGACCCTGCTGCCTGCCCCCAGGCCCTGAGCTGAGACAGCCCCCTGCACCCCAGCACAGGAGATGCCTGGCCCTTTGTGGGGCAGGGCCCCGGGCACGCCGCCTGTAATCCCTGGTGCCCTGAGACCCAGCCCAGCTTGGCGCTGGCACAGGAGCAGGGACCCGGTGCCCCCAGCTTCCCCCACCTGCCTGGCTCTGCAGACCTGCCTCCTCGGCTGCCGCTGACCTTGTCCCCACCGTGCCCTGGAGGAGCCCAGAGCTGGGAAATGTTGGAGTAATACCCACCCATGACCCCACTGCAATGTGCCCACTTGCCACAGCACCCCTGGCCCTAGGGCAAGCCGGCACCAGCACCCGTGGGCACATCTCACCCACTCCAAAGCTGCCCACAGCACCATGCACCCAGGCAACACCGGCGCACCCACTGCTCCTGGCCCCCTCAGCTCTAGCCAAGCCTCATCCTGAGGCTGGCTGCTGAAGCTGGGGCCTGAGCATTTCCCACCTGGGCTGCCAGCTCCCTGTCCCAACCCCTCGCCAGGAGCTCGGGCAGGCGCTCCGAAGACTGTGGCTATTTGGGCTCAGGTGCAGGTGAGGTATTTCAGCAGTGACGACCCCTCCCCACCCAGGGTGGACATAGCTCGATGGCAGGGAACAGGGTATCTGGCAAGGCTGCCAGGGGTGGAAAATGTGGCTGTGGCACCGCAGGGGAGGGGAGCACATTGAGGCGGGTGGGGGAATAGCACCAGGTGCCCTTGCTACCCCCAGCGGGGGTGCAGAGCAGGAGGTGAATGGGGCTGTCAGTGCTAATGAACAAAAAAGGCAAAATGCTGAGAAGAAATGGGACTGGCCTGCTCCAGGGCACCAACGCTTCCCCCCCTTCCGTGCCGTGCCATGCCGTGCTGTGCTGTGCTGTGCCGTGCTGGGGGGGGGCTAGGCACAGCCTGGCTGCCTCTGGCTCTGTGCCCCAAGGCCTCCGCAAATGCACCGTGGGCTCAGCCCCCTCGGTGGGGGCAGGTGTCCTACGGCCCTACACTGTGGTCTCGTACTCCAGCAGCTCCTGGGAGGTGCCCATGGTGCGGTACTGCAGGCGCGGCGTGGCTGGGGACGAGTACTCCAGCGCCAGGATGGTCTTACGGAGCCGCCGGTCAATGAAATGAGCGTCCCAGGCCGGGTACTTCTTGCGGGGCAGGTCTATGCGGATGACGGGCCCTTCTGTCCGCGGGGTGCGGGCCATGGGCGTCGGGGGCACGCTGGGCCGGACCTGAAACACAGGCACGCAGCTGTCTCTGTCCCCCGGCACCCCCTCCCGCTCCCCCCCTGTAGTCCGCGGCAGGGAGCGCGGGGGGCTGGTGACCACGTCCGCGGGCGGCCCCACGCAGGTGGCGGACGCCTCGCGGAAGATGCAACCCGTGGCCTGGGGGCCGAAGACAGGGCCGTTGGGGTGCAAGAGGCAGTAGTAGATGAACATGAAGAAGATGCCAAGGGCGAAGCTGGCCACCACGACGCAGACGATGAGCAAGGCGTTGAAGTCCGAGGTGGCCTCGCGGTTGTAGTAGAGGAACCAGAGGGTGGTGAGGGCTGCGTTCTCAGCCAGCGTGATGACGTAGTAGATGGCCATGCGGTACCGGCTCCGGCCCTCCTTGACGTTGAACCAGCAGAAGATGTAGATGATGCCGACCACCATGTTGTAGATGATCTCCTCCCACTTGGACATGCAGAAGTCGGTCTCACCCTGGATAATCCAGAAGGTCATGATGCACCAGTGGGTGACGATGAAGATGCCGAAGTAGAGCTGGAACACGGAGGCGAAGAGCGCGAAGGCGATGGCGCGGGCGGCGATGGTGAACAGGTGCCACAAGATCTGCACCACCGCCCCCTTGTAGGACATGGGCCGCTTGTCCTCCCGCGAGTCCCGCAGCACCTTCTGGTACGAGGCGATCATCCAGGCCAGCGACACTAGTGAGGCCGAGGCCGAGAGACCTGCCGGGCACAGAGCGAGACACAGGGAAGTCAGGGGGCCAGAGCGAGAGGGGCTGAGGGGTGGGAGAGAGAGGGGCAGCAGGGAGGGGAGACAGGAGAGAGGAGTTACCAGGCTGTGCCAGTGCCCCCAGCTCCGGACAGCACTGCTGGCACGGCCCGCTGCTCCTGCCCCAAGGGTGAGGCTCGGTCTGTGCAGCTGGACCCCACAGCTGGTAGCAGGGCTCCCCCCGGCCTGCCCTACCCCCCTGTCCCGCAGGGGCTTGGCCTGCAATGGGAAGCATCCCCTGCCCCCAGGCTGCCTGCACCCTGTTTCTGCTTCATGGGACCTCAGGAGAAGAGGGAGGGGGCTGGGGAAGGGGGCGCTTACCCTGGAGGGGCTCGATGCTGTTCTGCTGCACCATGATGCTGAGCTGCAGCACGAGCTGGGGCGCGCTCTTCAGGAAGGTCTCCAGCAGCCGCAGCATGTTGATGTCGGCGCTCTCGAACATCATGCGCCAGTAAAAGTGGCGCCGCCGGTGCTCGGCCTGCCAGCGGCTCTGCAGCCCCAGGTACAGGGTGCGCAGGTACCTGCAGGCAAGGGAGGCAACAGCGCAGCTCAGGGGCCAGCAACGGGGAGCCTGAGAGCCCATGCTGGGATTTGCTGGGCAGTCTGGTCCCCGCTGCGGCCTGGATGCATGAAGCTGGAAGCCAGCATGGAGGGGAGCGGGGCCAGGCCTGTGGCTGTGGGGGTGGCACAACTCTCCCCCCCGACCCTGCAGGGTAGCAGAGGGCAGGGGGCACCGGTGCAGTGAGACATCTGCACAGTGCAGTGCCGAGCTGCGTGGACCCCTGAGTGCTTGCACCAGGCTCTTCCCATCCGAGCACAGGCCCGCTAGCTGGTGGGCAGGGCTATGCTAGTCTGTGCTGTGCCCTGAAGGATGCAAGAGGGTTGCTGAGGCCACCGTGCCCTCTCGCCCTGGGCAGTGGGCTGGCTGTGTCCTTGCTGCTCCTGGCTCCCCCCGCATGAAGGAAGCTGGCTGGGAGCCAGGCAGGCCCCAGAGAGGGCAAGAGGCTCTGCACAGCCCAGTGCTGGGTTCCCTGCCGTGCCCGCTGCCAGGGATGGCTTTGGGGCATGGGTGGACCAGGATTAGCTGGCTTGGCTGCCAGGCAGCAAGTGACAAACCTGCCGTCCAGGGGAGCAAGGAGGGGAAGGACAGAGGTGGGCGGGGGGGGGACACGAGTCACAGCATCTGCAGCTCCCCATCCATGCCCTGCAGCACTCCACAGGGTGCCTGGCACACAGACGGGACCCCTTTCCAGCAGTGCCACGGGGACATCATGCACCTCCCTCCCTGTCTCATCCCATCCCACCGGCCTCCCTCCCTCCCTCCCCTCTGGCCAGAGATCCCCGGCCGCCTGGCCCACGTCACTGCTCTTGGCCCAGCTGGAGCAGAGCCCACCCCTCCTGCCCGCCTCTCGCCATGCTGATCAGGCAGGAAGAGGGGAGCAGCTGGTCACACTGGGACCGGGGGAGGCGGCGGCAGGGCTCTGATGGTGGAGCCAGGCTTTGGCCCTTGGCGCAGCTGGGGGCACCATCACGTGGCTCGGGCCTGCCATCTGCTCACCAGGCTGGGGTCAGCGCGCTGGCCCAGGCTCTGCAAGCCTGGCTCACTGCAAGCAGGGCCTCCCTTCCCTTCCCTTCCCTTCCCTTCCCTTCCTGGGGCCACCCAGCAGTGCTGGGCCTGGGCTAGGCCTTCAGCAGCAGCCTAGGAAGAGGCGTGCATGTCAACTCACTGCAGATGCAAGCAGCCAAGGCTCGTGCTGCAAGCCCCTGGAGCAGAAAAGCATCAGCCTGCACGGCCCCTTTCTTCCCGTCTACCCCAGGCCTCGCTGAGCGGGCCCCCCTTCAGCAGAGCCCTGCCCGACGGCTTCCCCACCACCGTGCCCTGATGCGGCATCCCTGCCTGACGCATGGGTGCACCTGTAACCCTCTGCACCCATGGGCAGGGCCAGCCCCCTGCTAGGATCTTCCCGCTCCCTCCCAGGTACTAGATGCCTGCAAGGCCACAGACAACCATCTCCCCTGGATGATATACTTTGTGCCCCTGCTTCTGTGGGGAGCTGCATGGAAGGGGGAGGCCATCGCTCCGCTCCTACGCCAGCACACGGCATCCTGGAAGCCCCCAGCAAGGAGCAGCGGTGATGCCCCCTCAGTGGAGGCCTGGGCGTGGGGCAGGGTGATGCTGTGCACGGCCCAGTGGAGCGCAGCTCTGCTCCTGAACCCGCCTCACGTCACGGGGAGACAAGCGACAGGGAAAACAGAAAGATGAAGCGAAAGGACACCAGCCTGTAAAGCTCCCTCCCAGCCCAGTAAAGCTGTCATGCAAATGGATGGCCTTTATATCAGAGCTGTAAAACGCTGTCACTCCACTCCATTAGCTGGCCGGGAGGAAGCCATAGCCCAGCATTTCCAGCCCCCCCCCGTCAGCTCTGGGGGGTGGGGGTCAGCTCACTCCCACCGTTGAGGTGACCCCCCCCTCCCCCTGTGCCTGGGCCGGAGGTGACAATTGGGTCTCAATGTCCCAAAGCCCCCAATTCCCACCGCAGCCTCCTGCCCCAGCCCCATCCACTGCTCCCCATTTGGCTTTCTTGTTGCCCTCCCAGCCAGATGCCTCCATGGGGCCTGACTTCCTGCATGGTGTAACTTGGGTTGTCCAGGGCTAGATCCCCCCACCACCATCCGCATCTGCCAGACACCCCAGATGAAGGACATGGGGTGTCCATGGCAGGCTGCGAGGCTGGCCCTGAGCCCTCAGCCCAGCCAGCCCTGAGGTCAGGCCAGAGGGCACCAGGGCTGGCCTTGGAGGGGCTCCCCCCCCACCAGCGGAGAGGGCTGCAGCTGCTCCCTGTGCTCTGGGCAACAGGGGAGCCCAGGGGAGAGGGGCCCAGCTCTGGAACAGCAGATAGAGACCTTTTTTTGGGGGGGGGGGTATTCTGGGGCCACAGAGGGAACTTGGGCCAGTGGGACAGTGGCAGCTGGCTGGAGGGGGAAGCCCCACAGGCTGATCAGGGATGTGCCCGGGCCCTTGAGGGGGCAGAGACCCAGTTGAGACAGAGCAGGAAGGGGGGGACGCCTGGACCCGGGGAGAAGAGACGGGCAGAGCCGCTGGCACTGGGGGCAGGCGGGAGAGCAGGGAGCGGAGGAGAAAGGGGAGCAGAGGGGAAGCAAGGTGGGTTGCGCGGCGGAGACACAGACGGACCCGGGCACGGAGGGGCCGCGGGGCAGACGGAGCTACGGAGCCCGCGGCCGTGGCAGAGCTGCCAGCCCTGGTTGCGGCGTTGCCAAGGACACTGACATGTGACAGGTATTGTTCATCCGGCACTTGCACGAGGCAGTGGGGAGGGGGGCAACGGGCTCGGCACAGGTGTGCGCGGGAACGGCCCCGTTCCGTCCTCCCCCGGGAAGGGGCAGTGTGAGCCGGGAGCCAGGCCCCACCAGCACCCGGCCAGGCAGCCCAGGCCCTCGGTGCCTGCTTGGGGCTCACGGGGGGCTGGGAGGCAGGGGAAGGATGAACCTGTGAGCAGTGGGGTAGGGGACTGGAGACCACCGCGTGCAGGATGCAGAGGGGGGTGAGCCCACCCGACAGCTGCACCCTTGCCCCGGTCTGACCCAGCACTGCCCTCGGGGAGCGCAGCGAGAGTCCCAGCCTGACCCGACCGTCAGGATTTGGCCTGCCCAGGGGGCTCAGAGCCTTTGCAAGCACTAGCTCAGCTCAGCACCCTCAATGGCAGAGCAGGAAAAAGGCCAGTGGAGCCTGACCACCCCTAAGGCAAGTCTCTGCAGCCCCCGGCATGCACCAAAGCCACAGGGGCTGGAGATCAGCAGGGTGCTCAGCTTCAAGGCATGACCCTGGCCCTGGAAGTCACAAGGACGTGGGGATACTCAAGCCCTGGCAGGATTCAGCCCTGGGGGAGGCACAGGGGAGCTGGTCTTTACCAGCACTGGGATCTCCTGGGCGAGCCCGAAGTCACAAAAGGGCCTTCCAGGCCCCAGCACCAAGCAAGGCACTAGAGTCCGCAGACAATGTCACTGTAATAATCCTGCTTCCAGGTGGGGAGGTGCTGATTACAGCCCGGGCCGAGACCCAGCAGCCAGTGTCGCGGCCTGGCCCCACTTTGCTTCTTCACATCAGGCCAGGTGCAGGTCCGAGAAGGAGCGGTTCCCGCCGGCACTTCTGGCAGCTCGTATCCACCACCCCACCTAAAAGGGACACCAAGCCAGGCCGAATCACTGGCCACTGGCCTCTAGCACGCTCCACCCTGGGAGGGAAGGTCAGCACACGGGGAACCAAGGCCGGAGGGAGAGAGGGTCAGGTGCTTCTGCTGCCAGCCCGGGACTTGGCCCTCACCCCTCTCTCTCAGTGCTGACTTGCTGTGAGATAGCAAGGGGAGACCCTCCCCTTCCCAACTGCCTCCCACCCGAAAGCCCCAGCCCCTGGCATGTGTGGCTGGATGGGAGCTCTGCCCAGGGTGCCAGGCCCTGGCAAGGGCAGGGAGATGATGCCATCTGCTCCAGCCCAGCTCCTCCCATTGCCATACAAAGGACGTGGGTAGCACGCTCTGCCTCCAGTGCCCTGTGCCAAGCTCTCCCTCCTCGGAGCCTCCGAGCAGCCCCTGCTCTCCCAGCTGAAGGGATGTGGGCCAGACTCTCCCCTCCCTGGCTGGACCTCACGGACGGATCCTGGAGAAAAGCTGACCAAGGTGGCTGCAGCCCATCAGATCCCAGCCTCCGCTGTGCTACCTGCCATACTCCTCTCGCTCCAAGCCCTGGTGCTGCCCTGGGCAGACAGAGATGAGCTAGGCAGGGCCGGGCTTGGCACCCCAAGGGCTCCTCACGCAGCCCCTACCCTGAGGAGAGCCCAGGAAGGCAGTGAGGAGCAGGGCGTGGGGGGAGGCCCGATGCCCGAGACCCAACAGCAAAGCTCCTGTCTATGGAGACAAGAGACCCAGGAGGCCCCGGCCTGCCCCAGACAGACCCCATCCCCTGCCTCGTCTGCGCTGAGCCACCGACGGGGACCTCACATGAGGGAAGAGGGCTGATAGACAGATCCACGGACACGAGGAGCCTCCACCTCCTCTGGGGCTGGCTCTGGTGAAGCTGTAGGGATTTCCACCCCAGGCTTGGAGGCCCAGCCACCAGTGACCTTAGCCTCCCGCTGGAATCACACCCGCTAATTGGGCTTGTCATTGCAATGATCCCGCTGTCTGCAGCACAGAACGGCCCCACGCGCACACGGCTCCTGGCCCTCCCCTCGTGCAGCCCGCAGCTGCCGGGCACAGCTCATTACGGCAACAAAAGGGAAGGGGAGAGAGGGGAGGGGAGGCGCACATCTGCTCCACGCGCCCCCCCACCCCGGCTCTCAGACGCTCAACAAGTGACCTTGCCTCCCCCACCCTGGCCTCTGCTCCCATCCTCCCACGTCTCATTAGAACGAGACTTCGGCTCCCGTCAGCTTGGGCAAATGAGACGATGGTTCTGATTTGTTCTGCATCTGATCAGAGAGTTTGTGTTTCAACCCCAAGA